AGCTGTGGAACAAAATAAAGAAAAAAGAATGAAAAGAAATGAAGACAGCCTAAGAGACTTGTGGGACAACATTAAATGCAACAACATTCACATTATAGTGGTCCCAGAAGGAGACGAGAGAGAAGGAACTCAAGAAAATATCTGAAGAGATTATAGTTGAAAAATTCCCTAACATGGGAAAGGAAATAGCAACCCAAGTCCAGGAAGTGCAGAGAGTCCCAGGCAGGATAAATCCAAGGAGAAACACACTGAGACACAGAGTAATAAAAATGACAAAAATTAAAGACAAAGAAAAATTATTGAAAGCAACAAGGGAAAAACTACAATAACATACAAGGGAACTCCCATAAGGTTAACAAGTGACTTCTCAGCAGAAACTCTACTAGCTAGAAGGGAGTGGCATGATATATTTAAAGTATGAAAGGAAAGAACCTACAACCAAGATTACTTTACCAGGCAAGGATCTCATTCAGATTCGACACAGAAATCAAAAGGTTTACAGACAAGCAAACACTAACAGAATTCAGCACCACCAAACCAGCTCTACAACAAATGCTAAAGGAACTTTTCTAAGTGGGAAACACAAGAAAAGGATGTACAAAAACAAGCCCATAACCATGAAGAAAATGGTAATAGGAACATACATATCGATAATTACCTTAAACGTGAATGGATTAAATGCTCCAACCAAAAGACATAGGCTTGCTGAATGGATACGAAAACAAGACCTGTATATATACTGTCTATAAGAGACACACTTCAGACCTAGGGACACATACAGACTGAAAGTGAGGGGATGGAAAAAGATATTCCATGCAAATGGAAATCAAAAGAAAGGTGTAGTAGCAATACTCATATCAGATAAAATAGACTTTAAAATAAACAATGTTACAAGAGACAAGGAAGGACACTACATAATGATCAAGGGATTAATCCAAGAAGAAGATATAACAATTATAAATATATATACACCCAACATAGGAGCACCTCAATACATATGGCAACTGCTAACGGCTATAAAAGAGGAAATCGACAATAACACAATAATAGTGGGGGACTTTAACACCTCACTTACACCAATGGACAGATCCTCCAGACAGAAAATTAATAAGGAAACACAAGCTTTATGACACAATAGACCAGATAGATTTAATTGATATTTATAGGACATTCCATCCAAAAACAGCAGATTACACTTTCTTCTCAAGTGCGCATGGAACATTCTCCAGGATAGATCACATCTTGGGTCAAAAGTCAAGCCTCAGTAAATTTAAGAAAATTGAAATTATAACAAAGCACCTTCTCTGACCACAATGCTATGAGATTAGAAATCAATCACAGGGAAAAAAATGTAAAAAACACAAACTCATGGAGACTAAACAATACGTTACTAAATAACCAACAGATCACTGAAGAAATCAAAGAGGAGGGCTTCCCTGGTGGCGCAATGGTTGAGAGTCTGCCTACCGATGCGGGGGACGCGGGTTCGTGCCCCAGTCCGGGAGGATCCCGCATGCTGTGGGGCGGCTGGGCCCGTGGGCCATGGCCACTGGGCCTGCGCGTCCGGAGCCTGTGCTCCGCGGCGGAGGAGGCCACAGCAGTGAGAGGCCCCCGTCCCGCAAAAAAAAAAAAAAAAAAAAAAAATCAAAGAGGAAATCAAAACATATCTAGAGACAAATAACAACGAAAACACGATGATCTAAAACCTATGGGATGCAGCAAAAGCAGTTCTAAGAGGGAAGTTTATAGCAATACAATCCTACCTCAAGAAACAAGAAAAACCTCAAATAAACAATCTAACCTTACACTTAAAGGAATTAGAGAAAGAAGAACAAACAAAACCCAAAGTTAGTAAAAGGAAAGAAATCATAAAGATCAGAGCAGAAATAAATGAAATAGAAACAAAGAAAACAATAGCAAGGTTCAATGAAACTAAAAGCTGGTTTTTGAAAAGATAAACAAAACTGATAAACCTTTAGCCAGGCTCATCAAGAAAAAGAGGGAGAGGACTGAAATCAATATAATTAGAAATGAAAAAGGAGAAGTTACAATGGACACCACAGAAATACAAAGGATTATGAGAGACTACTACAAGCAACTCTATGCCAATAAAATGGACAACCTGGAAGAAATGGACAAATTCCTAGAAAGGTATAACCTTCCTAGACTGAACTAGGAAGAAACAGAAACTATGAACAGACCAATCACAAGTAATGAAATTGAAACTGTGATTAAAAATCTTCCAACAGACGATAGTCCAGGACCAGATGGCTTCACAGGTGAATTCTATCAAACATTTAGAGAAGAGCTAACACCCATCCTTCTCAAACTTCCAAAAAAATTGCAGAGGAAGGAACACTCCCAAATTCATTCTACAAGGCCACCATCACCCTGACACCAAAAACAGGCAAAGATACTACAAAAAAAGAAAATTACAGACCAATATCACTGATGAATATAGACGCAATAATCCTCAACAAAATACTAGCAAACAGAATCCAACAACACATTAAAAGGATCATACACCATGATCAAGTGTGGTTTATCCCAGGGATGCAAGGATTCTTCAATATATGCAAATCAATCAATGTGATACACCATATTAACAAATTGAAGAATAAAAACCATATGATCATCTCAATAGATGCAGAAAAAGCTTTTGACAAAATTCAACACCCATTTATGATAAAAACTCTCCAGAAAGTGGGCACAGAGGGAACGTACCTCAACATAATAAAGGCCACAGACAACAAACCCACAGCAAACATCATTCTCAATGGTGAAAAAACTGAAAGCATTTCCTCTCAGATAGGAACAAGACAAGGATGTTCACTCTCACCACTATTATTCAACATAGTTTTGCAAGTCCTACCCACTGCAATCAGAGAAGAAAAAGAAATAAAAGGAACACAAATTGGAAAAGAAGAAGTAAAACTGTCACTGTTTGCAGATGACATGATACTATACATAGAGAATCTTAAAGATGCCACCAGAAAACTACTAGAACTAATCAATGAATTTGGTAAAGTTGCAGGATACAAAATTAATGCACAGAAATCTCTGGCATTCCTATACACTAATGATGAAAAAGCTGAAAGAGAAATTAAGGAAACACTCCCATTTACCACTGCATCAAAAAGAATAAAATACATAGGAATAAACCTACCTAAGGGGGTAAAAGACCTGTACGCAGAAAACTATAAAACACTGATGAAAGCAATCAAAGATGACACAAGCAGATGGAGAGATATACCATATTCTTGGATTAGAAGAATCAATATTATGAAAATGACTATACTACCCAAAGCAATCTACAGATTCAGTGCAATCCCTATCAAATTACCAGTGGCATTCTTTACAGAACTAGAACAAAAAATCTTAAAATCTGTATGGAGACACAAAAGACCCCAAATAGCCAAAGCAGTCTTGAGGGAAAAAAACAGAGCTGGAGGAATCAGACTCCCTGACTTCAGACTATACTACAAAGCTACAGTAATCAAGACAATATGGTACTGGCACAAAAACAGGAATATAGATCAATGGAACAGGATAGAAAGCCCAGAGATAAACCCATGCACCTATGGTCAACTAATCTATGACAAAGGAGGCAAGGATATACAATAGAGAAAAGACAGTCTCTTCAATAAGTGGTGCTGGGAAAACTGGGCAGCTGCATGTAAAAGAATGAAATTAGAACACTCCCTAATACCATACACAAAAATAAACTCAAAATGGATTAAAGACCTAAATGTAAGACTGGACACTATAAAACTCTTAGAGGAAAACATAGGCAGAACACTCTTTGATATAAATCACAGCAAGACCTTTTTTGACCCACCTCCTAGAGTAATGGAAATAAAAAGAAAAATAAACACATGGGACCTAATGAAACTTAAAAGCTTTTGCACAGCAAAGGAAACTATAAACAAAACGAAAAGACAACCCTCAGAACGGGAGAAAATATTTGCAAACGAATCAACAGACAAAGGATTAATCTCCAAAATACATAAACAGCTCATGCAGCTCAATATTAAAAAAACAAACAACCCAATCAAAAAAATGTGCAGAAGACCTAAATAGACATTTCTCCAAAGAAGACATACAGATGGCCAAGAGGCACATGAAAAGCTGCTCAACATCACTAACTATCAGAGAAATGCAAATCAAAACTACAATGAGGTATCACCTCACACCAGTTAGAATGGGCATCATCAGAAAATCTACAAACAGCAAATGCTGGATAGGGTGTGGAGAAAAGGGAACCCTCTTGCACTGTTGGTGGGAATGTAAATTGATACAGCCACTATGGAGAACAGTATGGAGGTTCCTTAAAAAACTAAAAATAGAATAACCATATGATCCAGCAATCCCACTACTGGGCATATACCCAGAGAAAACCATAATTCAAAAAGACATATGTACCCCAATGTTCATTGCAGCACTATTTACAATAGCCAGGTCATGGAAGCAACCTAAATGCCCACTGACAGATGAATGGATAAAGAAGATGTGGTACATATATACAATAGAATATTACTCAGCCATAAAAAGGAACGAAACTGGGTCATTTGTAGAGATGTGGATGGAACTAGAGATTGTCATACAGAGTGCAGTAAGCCAGAAAGAGAAAAACAAATATCGTATATTAATGCATATATGTGGAATCTAGAAAAATGGTACAGATGAACCGGTTTGCAAGGCAGAAATAGACACAGATTTAGAGAACAAACATATGGACACTGAGGGGAGGAAGTGGGGCGGGGTGGTGCTGGTGGGATGAATTGGGAGATTGGGATTGACATATATACAGATATGTAAAAAACAGATAACTAATAAGAACCTACTGTATAAAAATTAAATTAAAAAAAAGAAGGTAATGGGTAATACTGTCAAATGAATAAAAAAGAAGTCTTTCTCTGTATGCAAATTTTAGACCATAATCAGTATGGCTCCACTGTAAATTCTTACTTTTCCAATTACGCGTGCTTATGTATACTTACTTAAAGTATTCATCAGGAGGCCATTGCTGTCATGAAGTTTATTATGACCAGCCACTATGTCAGGAATCCTGCACTGTGGCATGGTAGACATGGTAGGATGTTCTGAGACATAATTCCCTGGATCAGAAGGAGAGGATCTGCACTCTTCATCTTCTGAATCACTAGAACTATCCTTACTGCTTGAAGATGATGAACTTTTGGAATCTGATGAACTATCACAACTACTCATCTGGTCCATTAGACTAGCTTCTGCCTTCAGTTCTGAAAATAAAACAGAAGTTAATAGCGTAAATAAATATTAACTATAAATATTAAATAAATATAATAAAATTTGAATGTATCAGTTTCTAACAAACTTGATGGGGAATAAATAAGACTAAACGTACATTTACAGATTTAAAGCATTTTATTTAAAAAGCTCCTCTACTAGTAGAAAATGAAAAGTAAAATCCCTCTTCTTACCCCCTCTTCAAGTTCCTTTAATCCTACTCTCCAGGAATAATCACTCCTAACACTTTCTTGTGACCATATATGTTTTAAAATTCTGCTTGGAAACTGGCATTTTAGATTTTGACACCAACTCACTTACTGTTAGAGCTTGAGTGTGGTTTTTGTTACTAACCAACCAAGAGTTTAAAAAAAAATGTCAGGACTTCCCTGGTGGTGCAATGGTTAAGAATCCACCTGCCAATGCAGGGGACATGGGTTCAAGCCCTGGTCCCGGAAGATCCCACATGTCGTGGAGCAACTAAGCCCGTGCGCCCCAACTACTAAGCCTGCTCTCTAGATGCTGCAAGTCACAACTACTGAGCCCGCGTGCCACAACTACTGAAGTCTGTGCACCACAACAAGAGAAGCCACCGCAATGAGCAGCCTGTGCACTGCAACGAAGAGTAGCCCCTGCCCGCCCCAACTAGAGAAAGCCTGCGTGGAGCAGCAAAGACCCAATGCAGCCAAAATAAATAAATTAATTAATTAATCTTTTTTAAAAGTCAACTTTTCTAGCAAAAATTGCATCCCTGAACCCAAACCTTTCTTTCCCAGCTCTTCTCTGGTAGTCTTTCTTTCTCCCTGTCCTATGTCTGGACAACATATACACATAGTTCTCAGGCACCCCAAAAAGTAAAATAAAAAGCTCCTCTGCTATCAAGCTGAGCTATATTCAATGTTGGGATTATGAAAAGTAAAAGACATAGGCAATATCTAAACTTAAATACTATATTTACTTATGCCACTATACTTAATTACCCATGTAACTCAAATAAAATACAAAAAAGAATGTGAACGTTTTAAATTGTAAAAATTGAAATCTGTTTTGTTAGAAACCGTCCTCCAATTCTTTTCTTATTTCCCCAGTACATGTAATGCAACACAATACATAGAGATGAATTTTTTCAGCTTTACTGAGGTATAATTGGCAAAAAACTTGCACATATAAAAAGTGTACAACATGATGCTTTGATATACATATACATTGTGAAATGATTACCATAATCAAGTTAATTAACACATAATCTCACATAGTTGCCATTTTGTGTGTGTGTGTTTGTGTACTGTGGTAGAAACACTTGTCTTGACTAGCCTGCTGTTGTTGGATAGCCCTTTCAATCTGGGAGAAGAATAAGCTATCTGAGACGCCTTCTGTAACTAAGCTGGAGTCAGGACATGCTGGGCCTGAATTGTCATCTTCTGAAGGAGGAGGTTACAAGATGCCCTGAATATACTGTTCTTCTAGTGCTTCCTTGGGCCCCTAACCAGATTACCTTCCTCTTTCCATCTTTCAAATTTCTCCTTTGATTGTCTTTTGCATCATTTCCAGGGTTTATAGTTTTACTTAGTGAGGAGAAGCAGAAATAGATAAGTCTATGTCATCTTGTTCCACAATACATTTTAAGAGACTGATCTTACACAGAATATGTTCTCTATCAAAACAAAATAATTTAAAATTTATAAATGGAACCTAGATAATATTCAAGTAGTTGAGAACTAAACACACTTCTAAGAAACCCATGGGTCAAATACGAAATCAAAAAGATTTCAGAAAATACGTCTAATTGAATGAAAATAAAAACACAGCTTATCAAAATCTGTGGAATACAACTAAAGCACAGCTTGGAGAGAAATTTGAAACATTAAATGATTATACTGGGGGGAAAAAGGAGGTCTCAATTAAATGAACTAAGCTGTACCTTAAGGAGTTAGAGAAAGAAGAGCAAATTAAAACTAAAGTAAGCAGAAGGAAAAAAATAGCAAAAGCACAAAACAAGAAAGACAACAGAAAAAAAAGTGAAAATAAATGAAACATAAATTGACTGCTTGAGATAAATAATGTTGATCAAACTCAACCAGGTTTATCAAGAAAAAAAGATACTAGATATAAATTAGTAATATCCAGAGTGAAAGAGGTGACAGCACTACAGACCTTACAGCATTAAATGAATAGAAAGGAACACTGTGAACTACTTTATGTCCACAAACTCAATAAATTAGATGAAATGGATCAATTCCTTGAAAGGCACAAACTACTAAATTTCACTCAAGAAGAAACAGATAACTAGAATATCCATAAATCTTCTAAAAAAAAATGAGTTGTAGTTAAAACCCTCCCCACACCCTACACACAGATCTCTAGTGACAGATGACTTCACTAGTGAATTCTACCAGTTATTTAAGGAAGAAATAATGTCAGTTTGAGACAAATGCTTCTGTATAATTAAAAAGGAAGAAATACTTTCCAATTCATTCCTTAGGGCCAGAATTACTGATACAAAATCCAACAAATACATTACCAGAAAAAAAATATCCCTTATGAACAGACACAAAATTTTTAAAGAAAATTTTACCAAATAAAATTTAATAATATATAACAGTGGTTTTCAACCAGCTATGATTTTGTCACCCAGGGAGACATCTGGCAATCTGGAGACATTTTTGGTTGTCACAACTGTTGGGGAATGGCGATACTAGTATCTAGTGGGTAGAAGCTAGAGATGCTGCTAAACATCCTACAATGCATAAGACAGCCCCTGACAAAGAACCATCCAACTCCAAGTGCCACTATTGCTGAGGTTAAGAAATGTCCTATATTAAAAGGACAATATATCATGATTAAGTGGGGTTTTCCAAGGAATACAAACTTTCAAAAATCAATCCATATAATTCACTATATTAAAAACTGAAAAATAAAAGCCATCTCAAAACAGCAGAAATTTCAGCAGTGATTCTTGATAAAAACTCAGCAAAATAGAAATATAAGTTAACCTTATGAAGGACATCTAGGAAAAGCTTACAGCTGAAATCATACATAATTGTAAGGGACTGAATATTTTCCCTCCAGCATCAGAAACAAGAGGTTTCCACTTTGACCACCTCTAGTCAATGTTGTATTGAAGGTTCTAATTGGTGCAGTAAGTCATGAAAAAGAAATAAAAGCCATCCAGATTGGAAAGGAAGAGGTGAAATTGTCATTATTTACAGATAACGTGATTGTCTATGTAGAAAAGCTGATGGTATCTACAAAAAAGCTCTAGAACAGTGAGTTTAGCAAGGTTAAATACACAGGGACAATATACAAAAATCGGTTTTATTTCTATGTACTAGCAATGAGCAATTAGAAGTTAAAATCATATAAACAAGAGCATTTATAATAGCTTCCGAAAATTAAATAATTATTAAAAAATTAAATAATTATAGATAATTCTGACAAAATATTTGAAGGACCTGTATGTTGAAAACCATAAAGCATTTCTGAGAGAAATTAAAGATCTAAATAAATGGAGAGAGATACTGTGTTCATGGGTCTCAATATTGAGAAGACTCAATATTGTTAAGATGCCAATTTTACCCAAATTGATCTATGGATTCAGTGCAATCCCAATAATAATTTCAACAGAAATTGAGAAGCTAATTCTAAAATTCACGTGAAAATGGAAGAGTCCTAGAATACGCAAAACAACTTTGTAAGAGAAGAACAAAGTTGTAGGACTAAAATTTCCTGGTTTCAAGACTTATTATAAAGCTACAATTATCAAGACAATATGATGTTGCCATAAAGATAAACAAATAGATCAACATATCAGAATAAAGAGTCCAGAAATAGACACACACAATATGGACAACTGATTCTTTTTTTTACAAAGGTGCAAATATATGATGAAAGACAGTCTTTTCAACAAATGGTGCTGGAATAATTCAATATCCATATGCAAAAAAAAAACCTTTGATACATACCATGTAGCATATACAAAAATTGACTCAAAATGAAGCATGGGCCGAAATGTAAAACTATAAAACTTCTAAAAGAAAACATGAAAGAAAACCTTTGTTACTATGATCTTGGTTTAGACAAAAAATTTCAATATGACACCAAAAGGAGAATCCAGAAAAAAATGGATAAAATGCATGTATTCAAAATTAAAATCTTTGGCTCTTCAAATTACATTGTTAAGAGAATGAAAAAATACAATCCACAGACTGGGAGAAAATATTTGCAAGGCATGTATATGATGAAGAACTTGTATTCAAAATATATAAAGAAATCCTAAAAGTCTAATAAGAAAATAAATAATCCAATTTTTTAAATGGGTAAAAAGATTTGAATAGACATTGTGCCTGAACAAAATATAATGATGGCAAATAAGGACATGAAAAGATACTTAACATCATTAGTCATTAAGGAAATGCAAACTAAAGTGACAATGAATATGATCCAACAATCCCACTCCTGGGCATATATCTGGACAAAACCATAATTCAAAAAGATACGAGCACCCCTATGTTCACAGCAGCACTATTTACAATAGCCAAGGCATGGAAACACCTAAATGTCTATTGATAGATGAATGGATAAAAAAGATGTGGTGTGTATACACACACACACAAACACACACACACATATACACACAATGGAATACTACTCAGCTATGAAAAAGAATGAAATAATGCCATTTGCAGCAACATGGATGGACCTAGAGATTATCATAGTAAGTGAGGTAAGTCAGAAAGAGAAAGACAAATACCATATGGTATTACTTATATGTGTAATCTAAAACATGACACAAATGAACTTATCTATGAAACAAAAACAGACTCATATACACAGAGAACAGACTTGTGGTTGCCAAGGGGGAGAGGTGGTGGAGAGGGATGGGTTGGGAGTTCGGGATTACCAGATGCAAACTAGTATACACATTGGGTTGGCCAAAAAGTTCACTCAGGTTTTTCTGCTGAATCGCTTTGCTGTATACCAGAAACTAAAACAA